GATCGACGTTCAAATCCATAGTGCTTCAAAAGTAGATCTACGTTTTTTTACATATTTTGGTAGACAGCAACCACCCAGGGAAGTACTACCGTCCTGCCAGATGACTGTGAAACAAAAACCTGTAACTGTTTTGCATGATGGTAGGATTGCTGGTTTCTTTTTCTGTCTCATAAACACGCTAAGATAACAGGGATATCTTGCTACTCCTACTTACACTTTGGTCACACTTCACAGACATGCACATGCATATATATATATACATACATCTAGGTTTTTCCCCTTTTTCTAAATAGCTCTTGTTCTTTTTTATTTCTTCTATTGTCCATGGGGAAGTGGAAAAGAATCTTTCCTCCGTAAGCCATGCGTGTCGTATGAGGCGACTAAAATGCCGGGAGCAATGGGCTAGTAACCCCTTCTCCTGTATACAATTACTAAAAAAGAGAAGAAGAAAAACTTTATAAAACTGGGTTGCTTAAATGTGCGTGGATGTAGTGCGGATGACAAGAAACAGATGATTGCTGATGTTATGAATGAAAAGAAGTTGGATGTCCTGGCCCTAAGCGAAACAAAGCTGAAGGGGGTAGGAGAGTTTCAGTGGGGGGAAATAAATGGGATTAAATCTGGAGTATCTGAGAGAGTTAGAGCAAAGGAAGGGGTAGCAGTAATGTTAAATGATCAGTTATGGAAGGAGAAAAGAGAATATGAATGTGTAAATTCAAGAATTATGTGGATTAAAGTCAAGGTTGGATGCGAGAAGTGGGTCATAATAAGCGTGTATGCACCTGGAGAAGAGAGGAATGCAGAGGAGAGAGAGAGATTTTGGGAGATGTTAAGTGAATGTATAGGAGCCTTTGAACCAAGTGAGAGAGTAATTGTGGTAGGGGACTTGAATGCTAAAGTAGGAGAAACTTTTAGAGAGGGTGTGGTAGGTAAGTTTGGGGTGCCAGGTGTAAATGATAATGGGAGCCCTTTGATTGAACTTTGTATAGAAGGGGTTTAGTTATAGGTAATACATATTTTAAGAAAAAGAGGGATAAATAAGTATACACGATATGATGTAGGGCGAAATGACAGTAGTTTGTTGGATTATGTATTGGTAGATAAAAGACTGTTGAGTAGACTTCAGGATGTACATGTTTATAGAGGGGCCACAGATATATCAGATCACTTTCTAGTTGTAGCTACACTGAGAGTAAAAGGTAGATGGGATACAAGGAGAATAGAAGCATCAGGGAAGAGAGAGGTGAAGGTTTATAAACTAAAAGAGGAGGCAGTTAGGGTAAGATATAAACAGCTATTGGAGGATAGATGGGCTAATGAGAGCATAGGCAATGGGGTCGAAGAGGTATGGGGTAGGTTTAAAAATGTAGTGTTAGAGTGTTCAGCAGAAGTTTGTGGTTACAGGAAAGTGGGTGCAGGAGGGAAGAGGAGCGATTGGTGGAATGATGATGTAAAGAGAGTAGTAAGGGAGAAAAAGTTAGCATATGAGAAGTTTTTACAAAGTAGAAGTGATGCAAGGAGGGAAGAGTATATGGAGAAAAAGAGAGAAGTTAAGAGAGTGGTGAAGCAATGTAAAAAGAGAGCAAATGAGAGAGTGGGTGAGATGTTATCAACAAATTTTGTTGAAAATAAGAAAAAGTTTTGGAGTGAGATTACAAGTTAAGAAAGCCTAGAGAACAAATGGATTTGTCAGTTAAAAATAGGAGAGGAGAGTTATTAAATGGAGAGTTAGAGGTATTGGGAAGATGGAAGGAATATTTTGAGGAATTGTTAAATGTTGATGAAGATAGGGAAGCTGTGATTTCGTGTATAGGGCAAGGAGGAATAACATCTTGTAGGAGTGAGGAAGAGCCAGTTTGTGAGTGTGGGGGAAGTTCGTGAGGCAGTAGGCAAAATGAAAGGGGGTAAGGCAGCCGGGATTGATGGGATAAAGATAGAAATGTTAAAAGCAGGTGGGGATATAGTTTTGGAGTGGTTGGTGCAATTATTTAATAAATGTATGGAAGAGGGTAAGGTACCTAGGGATTGGCAGAGAGCATGCATAGTTCCTTTGTATAAAGGCAAAGGGGATAAAAGAGAGTGCAAAAATTATAGGGGGATAAGTCTGTTGAGTGTACCTGGTAAAGTGTATGGTAGAGTTATAATTGAAAGAATTAAGAGTAAGACGGAGAATAGGATAGCAGATGAACAAGGAGGCTTTAGGAAAGGTAGGGGGTGTGTGGACCAGGTGTTTACAGTGAAACATATAAGTGAACAGTATTTAGATAAGGCTAAAGAGGTCTTTGTGGCATTTATGGATTTGGAAAAGGCATATGACAGGGTGGATAGGGGGGCAATGTGGCAGATGTTGCAAGTGTATGGTGTAGGAGGTAGGTTACTGAAAGCAGTGAAGAGTTTTTACGAGGATAGTGAGGCTCAAGTTAGAGTATGTAGGAAAGAAGGAAATTTTTTCCCAGTAAAAGTAGGCCTTAGACAAGGATGTGTGATGTCACCGTGGTTGTTTAATATATTTATAGATGGGGTTGTAAGAGAAGTAAATGCGAGGGTCTTGGCAAGAGGCGTGGAGTTAAAAGATAAAGAATCACACACAAAGTGGGAGTTGTCACAGCTGCTCTTTGCTGATGACACTGTGCTCTTGGGAGATTCTGAAGAGAAGTTGCAGAGATTGGTGGATGAATTTGGTAGGGTGTGCAAAAGAAGAAAATTAAAGGTGAATACAGGAAAGAGTAAGGTTATGAGGATAACAAAAAGATTAGGTGATGAAAGATTGAATATCAGATTGGAGGGAGAGAGTATGGAGGAGGTGAATGTATTCAGATATTTGGGAGTGGACGTGTCAGCGGATGGGTCTATGAAAGATGAGGTGAATCATAGAATTGATGAGGGAAAAAGAGTGAGTGGTGCACTTAGGAGTCTGTGGAGACAAAGAACTTTGTCCTTGGAGGCAAAGAGGGGAATGTATGAGAGTATAGTTTTACCAACGCTCTTATATGGGTGTGAAGCGTGGGTGATGAATGTTGCAGCGAGGAGAAGGCTGGAGGCAGTGGAGATGTCATGTCTGAGGGCAATGTGTGGTGTGAATATAATGCAGAGAATTCGTAGTTTGGAAGTTAGGAGGAGGTGCGGGATTACCAAAACTGTTGTCCAGAGGGCTGAGGAAGGGTTGTTGAGGTGGTTCGGACATGTAGAGAGAATGGAGCGAAACAGAATGACTTCAAGAGTGTATCAGTCTGTAGTGGAAGGAAGGCGGGGTAGGGGTCGGCCTAGGAAGGGTTGGAGGAGAGGGGTAAAGGAGGTTTTTTGTGCGAGGGGCTTGGACTTCCAGCAGGCATGCGTGAGCGTGTTTGATAGGAGTGAATGGAGACAAATGGTTTTTAATACTTGACGTGCTGTTGGAGTGTGAGCAAAGTAACATTTATGAAGGGATTCAGGGAAACCGGCAGGCCGGACTTGAGTCCTGGAGATGGGAAGTACAGTGCCTGCACTCTGAAGGAGGGGTGTTAATGTTGCAGTTTAAAAACTGTAGTGTAAAGCACCCTTCTGGCAAGACAGTGATGGAGTGAATGATGGTGAAAGTTTTTCTTTTTCGGGCCACCCTGCCTTGGTGGGAATCGGCCTGTGTGATAATAAAAAAAAAAAAAAAAAAAAAAAAAAAACAAATGTAGATAAAAGTTTTTTTACACATTTTCAAATGAAAAAAAAAGATCTACATTTTTTTACATTCAAATGTTGAAAAAACGTATATATACGTTTGGACCATTTAAGGGTTAAATACACAAATAACCCATACATAGGAGTCTAAAACTTATGATGATGTTTCAGACGAAAGCATCATCATATGTTGCACATATACAGACTCGAAGCAGATATTCACTCCTCGAAATCTCAGCATTATGTACACAAGAGGCTTCATGCAATAATAGTCACTGGTTTACAGAACAGTGGTTTAATAGCATTGCAAAAATATTTCTCATTGTTTATATACTATTGAAACACATAGCTTTTTCTTTGTTTTGACGATTCCTAGCATGTGTACACATAAGTAGATGCTAGTAATGCACAACTGCATCTGTACTGGATTCAGTCATTCTAACACTTATAAAAAAAAAATTCTTGCTCCATATTTTTTATTGTTTTTTTTTTTTTATCACACTGGCCGATTCCCACCAAGGCAGGGTGGCCCGAAAAAGAAAAACTTTCACCATCATTCACTCCATCACTGTCTTGCCAGAAGGGTGCTTTACACTACAGTTTTTAAACTGCAACATTAACAACCCTCCTTCAGAGTGCAGGCACTGTACTTCCCAGTGTTTAATTCAACTCATCCATCTGAGAGTATTTTTGTCTCACACTGACTGCAATACACTTTAATTCATTTTGCTTTTGTTAACTCATTAAAACCTTTAAATTTTTTTACACCCTGCCTGCAATTGCCTTTTTGCTTTCTTTTCAGAAATTCTTGTGTACTGCCCTACCTCACACCAGTCAACTTTTTATTTTTATATACCCTGGTGGCTACTAAGCCCTTAGGGATCATCTAGCACCCCGAAAGGGGATTCAATCAGGTTTTATCCCTTATGTGTAAATATTGCCACATACTGTGATTAACTCAGCTATTTTGCATGATACATTGGTCAGTTGCCAGTTCATTGGTTTGAGCTGACATATACCAAATTAAAGGTGGTTATTAGTGGCACACCTACATTTTTGGGGCCCTGAAGCTTGAACTGTTTTGGGGGGCCCCATCGCAACCCATTGTCATACAGAAGACCCAAAATTTTTAAGCAGTGTGGACTAAAATCACTTCTGGGGCCCCTATAGTATTAGGGGGGGGCCTCTGAAGCTTAAGTTTCAGTAGTTTTATAGTAGATCCATCCCTGGTGGTCATTTATCTGATATGGTCGGTTGTTTCAACATCAGACGTAAAAATTTGGATAAAACATTTCACTGTACTCGTAAATAAAAGTTTTGTATTTAAAAAAAATGGTATCTTTTTTCAGGGAGATTAGACAGAAATAGAGTCGTGGGAGTACCTCTGCGTGCCAGACAATCTCCCTCTTTCGTTGATTTAAGAGTCACTACATTATGAAGCTCATCTGTGATATAGGTGAGTGATAGACAGTCAGTACTGATACATTTGCTGATGAGTGATAGACAGTACTGATACATATAATGGTAGGTAAGTGGAAAACAGAAGGTAATGTATGTGTTGTGGTAGGTAAGTGGTAGATAAGTGGTAGACAACCAGTACTCTACATTTTATTAATGGTACACAGTACCATCCAGGAAAAATTTTAATTTTTCTTTTTAGGTCACCCTGCCTTAGTGAGATACAGCCAGTGTGTTGAAAAAATATACCAGTTTGGGTTTCTTTATTGATGAAACAATATGCCTCAACAGTTAACCCTCTCAGGGTTGACAGGCCCTCTCCCAGATTTGTTCTCAGGGTCAAAAAATGTTCAAAAAAAAAAAAAATAATTTTTTCTTATGAAAAGATAGTTTTTTTTTTTAAATCTTATAGGCTAAACAAAAAATTTTTACGATCAATACTTACCGAGATATTGAGGCATGAAGTTGACAAAATGATTGGCATATGGTAACATCGCCGACTGCCGGTCACCCAGTTTTAGTTTATTTAGTTTTTTGGTAATACTTTCTATTATTTTTTTTATTTTTTTTTCTCAAGTAACTTTTATGGCCTGTGAGACCAATATGAGCACTATTTTGTAAGTTTTTTCTCTTTATTTACTACACAATAACTGCACAAACACTGTTGTCCTTATATTGTTTATAATTGTTGTTTACACACACAAACGATATGAAATGTTGTTTATTACTATTTTTCTATATTTTATATACACATATACAGTCACAGGGAATGTTTCTAGAAGTTCTGCAGCCTGTGGAACTCTTTGAAACATGGTGTCATGCACAGTGGTGTTTTACACGCCTCACACATAAAACGAGTGTCTCTGCATTCTTGTGGGCGTTTTTTTTGTATGTTCACAGACGTAACACCTCTTCTGAGCCTTTTTCTTGAAAGCACTAGCAGGCAGTTTTACTAGGAAGTGATCACCATGCTTCAGACGAGAAGGTAGTTGTTGATAATTTAGTGGGTGGTTTTCTATTGCAGGTGTTGTTCCTTGGTACTTGAATAATAGTACAGTGGACCCCCGCTTAACGATCACCTCCAAATGCGACCAATTGTGTAAGTGTATTTATGTAAGTGCGTTTGTATGTGTATGTTTGGGGGTCTGAAATGGACTAATCTACTTCACAATATTCCTTATGGGAAAAAATTCGGTCAGTACTGGCACCTGAACATACTACTGGAATGAAAAAAGTTTGTTAACCGGGGGTCCACTGTATTTGTCTGATGACAGACAAACAAAATTTGCCATATGGTGGTTTGTTTCTGGTCCTCATCTTATACATATTATAAGCATTGAGCATGGAAATGTCCAGAAGATGGAAAAAGAGTTTTATGTACCACTTATAACTCTTGCAAACACAATCAGCAAACCCAATCTGTATGTCACATTTGTCCACTGAGCGCATATTGAGGGTGTAATCAATCACAGCTGCAGGTTTTAGAATGGATTCATTGCTGTCTCTATGCTGCCTGCCAGTGTTTGCCATTTCATTAGGGTGAACTGATGACAACAGTATGTATAACATCTCATTTGTCATGCCACCAAAATGCCATGATGTCATTGGTAGCAAACGCCTGCACCTCACCTCTACGAGTGCCAGCGTCAAACCTGGGCATGTGTTTACGATTTGCACGCACTGTGCCACACACATCTGTCATGTTCACTTGCAAAAAATCACTGAGTGAGGGGCTTGTGTACCAGTTATCAGTATATAATATATGCCCCTTACCAAGGTATGGTTCTATCATTGTTCTAACCACATCACCAGAGATGCCCAATAACTTCCTGGTATTTTGCAATGTATAACTTCCAGTGTACACAATAATATCCAGTACAAGACCACTGTAGCAATCACAAAGCACAAACAACTTTATGCCAAAGCGTTTCTTCTTGCTTGGTATGTACTGCTTGAAAGTCTTCCTTTGAACAGAATCAAAGACCCGTCAATTATAAGCTTCCTGAAGGGATAAAAATACATATTGAATTTATCTTTCAGATACCCAAACACATTCCTAATCTTATATAACCTGTCGTTTCTGTCAGGCCTGGTTTTGTCTGAGAAGTGAAGCATACGTAATAGTAGCACAAATCTTCACTCCCATTATATCACTGAAACCTGGAGTTGCAATCAGGCGATCTGTTGACCAGTATGATTTCACATTGTGCTTCTGCACATGTGGCATAAGCATTATTGTGGCAAAGAAAAGATACATCTCAGCCACAGCTGTCTCCTTCCACTGGTGTAGACGTGATTTTGGTGAAAGTATTGTGTTTGCCATGGTGTACTCGTAGTATCTGTTGCTTTCCCTGACAATAATTTCCATCAGGGGTTCGTCAAAGAATAGCTCGAAACATTCCAGTTCACTGCCATTGTTCCCCAGTGTACAAGATGGCCGTATTCCACTTTGGCTTTCATCAAACTGGTTGGGATTTGGAACAAAATTGGCAGCTTCCTGCCAATCCCAGGTGCGGTCTGCTGGTGGGTACTGGACATTGACAGGTGGTTGTGGTTGTGGAGGTTGTGGATGTAGAGGCTGGTGTTGTGGGTGGGTGGGGGATGGTGGCCTTTGTTGAAGATCAGCTGAGGCAGTGGTGTGGGTGGCAGCGTGGGTGGCAGCATGGCCCACTGCTGGTGCCTCACGGCTGGCACCACCACTACCACCACCATGCACTTTTTCCATCCCACTTGCAACACTATCATATCTTCATTTTCACTGTCTGTTCCTGTTGTACAGCCACGGGATGTACTCCGAGATGTACTCCTTCCCCTTGGAATAGCATATGGCCCACTACCAGAGGGCATATATCGTCGTATATACTGACGCTTCACTGGAGAATATTCCACTTCACTATCACTACTGGAACTGTTTTCAAGAGGTTGTAGTTCATATTCACTATCACTATCATCACCAATGCTCACATCTGAGTCCGGGATTTGGGGAAATAGGAGTTTCCTCTTTGATTCTGGTACAACTGAACGTGAACAAGACGGCCCAGCAGCAGAGGTGGAAGGCTGAGGGTCGTCTGGGTTTTCCTCACTATTACCGGTATTATGGTCATTAGTTTTGGTCACAAACTCGCCCAAAACCTTGAAACTCATCTTCACTGGCACTTCCATCTGTATTAGAACTGTCACGGAGGAACAAAATTGCCCCAATTCGCCGAGGAGTGAGGAGCTTCTTACCGCGAGGCATTGTGAACAAGGTCTACTAAAATGGCATTCCCACAATGCGCCACTGGGTCCCAGATTTTTTTTCTACCATGCACACCGACCACACACACCCATTCTCTCACATCTAGGCCTATCAGCCTTTTCCCGTGAGATTTGAAGGCGCTAGAACTTATGCATACTAGTACGTCAATAACCCTGGTGCGTAAGCCGTACTAGTACGTTGGAAACCCTGAAAGGGTTAATTATGCTGAACAGTTCAAATGTCTGGAGATGGGAAGTACAGTGCCTGCACTGTGAAGGAGGGGTGTTGATTGTAGATGAATGGTTCAGAGAACCGACACGTTGATAAATTAGACATATGTGCAACTCTTGGGTACCTTTACTGAGGAAACGTTTTGTCAAACAGTGGCTTCATCAGTCCATACAAAGGAGAAACATGAAGAACAGGAGGAGAGTGAGGTAATCAGTTCCTCAACCTTGAGTCGATGTGGTCAGTCCATCAATCTTGAATAGAATACAGCATATATGTGTGGAGAAGCAGCTTATAAACCGTAGGCAGGAGAGGTGCAGCAGTCGTAGGTGGTGTCACATTTTTTCTAATGTGGAAGTAGGTCGTGCCTAATATAGTCAGAGCGGGAGTGGGAGGGGCCGCAACCACTAGTCACATAATGGCATATTTTATTCATTCTAGAGTATATATCATGTTTCTGTGATATTTATATTATTTATTATGTTATATTAGATGAACTGTGATAGATAAATAAGCCGTAGAGTTGATATTAGCGTCATATTGAAGTATTTTGTCCTGCCTCCAGAGAGTAGGAATTCCGCTGGAATGGATTAATGGCATTCAATTAATTTAAATTAGGAAAAGTTACTTGATATATGAGCAAATTGAGTTACGAGCTAGGTCACAGAACAGATTAAACTTTTAAGTCAAGGTTCCACTGTATACCAGAAATTTTATAAATGGTGCAAAGGTGACATTAAAACAATATTGAAGATGGTCAGCATAAACTCACTACCATTATAGTATGCTCCTCACTTAGCGATGAATTCTTTTAAAGACGTGGTCTCAGGAACAGTACTCCATCGTTAAGGGAGGAGAGGCTGTATTATCAACACTTTGATATCAGTTATGTTGAAAATGATATATAACACCAACAAGTTGAAGAGTAAGGCACATGTGCAACAGTTGGATATCTTCATTGTTGATCGAAATGTTTTGCTTACACAGCAGGGTTCTTCAGTCAAGTAGAGGCAGCAAGCATAGTGCTCCTCCTCCTCTTAAATCATCCAGACCTTCCTAGCTCACCTCCAGCAGCATTTAAGACTCCATTCTCATCCCTCAGCTTCGTACTATTCCAGACTATGGGACTGACCACCAGGCTGAGGGACTGACCACCTTGAATATTATTTTTCCAAGGTTGATGGACTGATTATATCGTCTTTACTTCAGTACCACACCTGCTGTCTTTGTATTTGACTGAAGAAGCCTACTGTGAAGGTGAAACATTTCAATCAACAATAAAGATACGCAACTGTTGCACATGTGTCTTACTCTTCAACTAAGATATCAATATTACTGGAAGTGACAGCGAATAAGTTAATATTACCAAAGCAAACACAAACACATGTGACAAACCTCGTGACTGTGGTGGTTTTTTCAGAGGTGTGTACACAACCAACAGTACACACGTGTACACATTCCACATACAGTACACACCCAGAAGAAATCCGCCAGTATTCTGGATTTCCAGTTGTCCGAAAGTATAATCCCAC